CATCAGCTGTCCCACCCTCCCTTGCGGGCGGCCCCACAGCAGAGCTCACTCTGGCAGGTTTATCCTCAGCACCCTGCGGAGGCTGCCAGGCCTCATGCTCAGCGCTGGCATTTGCCTTTTTTGCACCTAGCTTGGCCCCGAGCTGGGCCCCAGCAGAAAGCGTCCCCCACCCTGCCTGGAGAGCGGCTGCGGACAGCAGGGTCTCACCGCTGCTGGCACAGCCAGATCCTTTCCCCTGGCACGGACCCTGGTGAGGCCGGGTCCCCTCCTGCCTCCCACCCCGGCAGCTGGAACCAGCTCTCCTGTGGTCCCTCAGGGACTGTCCAAGCTCACAGTGAGAGCAAGGCAGGAAAGTCGACAATGCCCAAGAGGGGCAGGCACCCCACCGCAGCTGCGCCAGGATCTGCGGGTGCCGGCCAAGGCGGGCTGGGCCCTGCGTGTGGGCACGTTTCAAGATTCTGTGGCTCCAACAGTGCTGGAAGGGACGCAAGGTCTCACCTGGCTGGCAGCAGCTTCGGCAGAGGGGGTGCGCTCGGCTCGGTGGTCTGGGGGGTGCCCTGGCAGGGGTCTCTCCACAGGAGAGTTCCTCCGGCGGTAGAAGAGGACGTACGCGTATCTGGTTACCACCTGGCTCTCGTCCACAGTGGTGACTGTGCTGTCGTCGAAGAGCCGCCAGCCTGGGAGGAGAGAAGGGTTAGGTGAGCAGAAGGGCCATGGCCGCACGAGCAGGAGGCAGCGAGGTTGGCAGATCCTCACCCACGTCACTGCGCTGGCTGTTCTTGTCGTTGGGCAGGCGGGCGTACGCTGTGTAGTGCCCCCCAATCATGCCTCCGTAGTGGTTGATCACAGCGTACAGGTCGTACATGGGCAGCTGCTGCTCGCCCTTACGGCCAATGCAGAATTTACTCAGGTCCAGGCTCCTGGGGAGGGACACGGGGACAGTCAGGGCAGTTGGCATTAGGCAGGGAGAGGCCAGGCTGCAGGGCAGCACAGGCAGTGCCAACCCCAGCACTGCATCCCCCAGGCTCTCACCGGACGGGGAAGTCCACCATGTCGTTGATCTTGTCCCTCCAAATAAAGCTGCGGAAGGAGAAGCGCTTGAGCTGGATGATGAGGACGTTGGGCAGGCGCCACAGCATCAGCTGCTTGGAGGCCTCGCGGTGCTGCTTGCACTTGGGGCAGTACCTGGGGGAACAGTGTGCTCGTCACTGGCGTGGGGACAGCCCCAGGTCTTGCAGCCCCGCCCCAAGGTCCCCCGACATGTGGGGCTGGCAAAGGGCATGTGAGAGGTCTCAGCCTCCCTTGCCAGGGGTGGGCCAGCACAGCCCTGCGGAGCGCTGGCATTACTCCCTGCAGGCTTTTATCCTCCCCAGCGCACAGGGAAGGCCAGCCCAATGCTTCTGTCTGCCAGAAGAAACAGCGCAGCCCCAGGCAGCTCCTGGGAAACCCCCGCTGCCGCCCGAGCCCATGGGCTGGAACCCACCCTGCCGCCTTCCTCACCACGCTTCCTCCGGGGCCAGGACCTCGGGCTTGGTGAAGAGGTTGAGGCACTGCTCCAGGGTGAAGTGGCCAGCCCTGGCTGCTTCGCTGGCTGAGCCTGGGTCCTCCACGCACTCCAGCTCCTTGGACTCTACCAACACAAACTCCTTGAGGCGCTCGTTGTTCTTCCACACCAGGGCGAGGGAGCAGTCATCCGTCAGCTCCAGGGGGGTGTCACCTGTGAAGGGACATGCACCTCACACCTGCCCCACCAGGCCACCGTGCTGGGGCTTGGAGCAGCCTTGCCCGTCCCAAGATGGCCATCATGCAAGCACTGCCAGGATGTGACAAGTGCCCCTGTGGGGCACCTCCACAGCCACAGCCAGGTTCATCATCATTTTAGGGTGTCAAAAGGCCCACAGCCAGTGGGGCAAGACTGGCACAGCCCCTCTCAGCAGCACCAACATAACCAGTGCCAGATGTGGGCGCCCCATTCAGACATGAGGTGACCCAGAAATCACAGATCCTCTGTGGATGCAGGAGTTTGAAGGGAATTGGTCTGTTTGCTGAGGAGAGCAGGAACATCCTGCCCGAGAACAGCTTCCCAGCAGCAGAGCCCTGAGCTCCCCTGTGCCAGATGTAGCTTCCACTGGCCAGCCTGAGGCCACTGTCACACCTGAGTTCACCTTGTGCCAGGCAGATGCACTACCCTGCCAGAGGCTGGGAGGGATGAAGGTGGTGCTTTACAGCGCCCTGGGCTCACCTTTATCTTCCAGCTTGTGCTCTCGGTTGGCAGCATCGATCTTGTTGATGTAGAACTGCGTGGTGCGGGCACTCAGCGAGTCTGGAGTGTGTTGGTACCCAGGGATGGCAGCTGTGGACAGGCAGGGACAGATCTGTGGTGGCACTGCCTGTCTGCCTGCACAGGGGCCAAGAATTTGCAGTGCCCCCCACCCCCACCTCACATGCTACGGCCTTGCAGGGACACAACCACGTGCCCCATGTCCTTGACTATTTTTAGCAGGCGCCTGCCCCTGGCAAGCTGCGCTCCTCTGCCTGCCTTGCCCCTTCACTGCACATTGCTGCCATCCTGAGACGAGTGTCTGGAAACGTGACAGCCAGGCAGCAGAGCATGAGAGGCTGCTCCCGTGCAGCTGAGTCAGAGCGAGGGAAACACTGTGCTCATAGCCCCGAGGGGTCCAGCCCGCGCCGGGCTCTGCCCTCCCACGGGACTCGGGAGGCTTCTGCCAGCCCCTGCCTTCCCACCCCTCCCACAACAACCCAACACTCCAGCCTCTTTCCCAGTCAGGTCTCTGCTCTGCCCCACGTGCCCTGCAGGGCACGGCAGAGCGTGGGCAGGCAGGCATTTCAGGTGAGGCAGCACTGTCAAAACACAGCTCCCAGGGCCTCATGTATGTCCCCAGGGGTCTCCGGACCCAGCTCACATGGGGAGAACAGACACTGTGGTGGGAGGTCACCCCAAGGAGAGAGAATTGCTCTGGTTTTGTCTTGGGGCTGCCCGGGCTCCTGGCACAGCACCGCAGCACCTCTTACCTTCTGGCTTGGGGGCTCTCTCATAGGACGGCTCCTTCTCGCAACAGCTGTCGCCCTGCGACTCCACATGCTCGGAGAACCCTGAATCCACGCTCAGCAGTGAACTCCTGGCTGCCAGGACCTTGCTCCGGACAGTGCCAGTGTCCCCCTGCTCTGGGTGCAGCTCAGGCACAGCTGGTGAGAGCGGGGGCTCCTGCAGGAGGCTGGAAGCCCTGTCCCCCTCTCCCAGCTCGGGGGCAGAGGTGGCTGCTGGACAGCCGCTCTTGGCCAGGGGCTCCAGCTTTTCCAGGAGCAGAGGCTGCAGTCCCTGCTCCGGTGACATCCGGCCCAGCTGGAACGGAGGCTGGAACACGCTGACTGAGTACCTGGGCAAGGAGGTGGCAGTCAGAGCCAGACAGGCACGGGCCCAAGCTCAGCTCCAGGACAGAAGCCCCCTCCTTCCCCTTCCCCCTCCTTACCTTGCGTAGCCCTCCAGGAGCTGGGCCAGGCGGGCGTAGGTGAGGCGGGACTCCGGCACGCTGATGAGGAAGGGGAAACCAATATTCTCGGGGCGGCACAAAGACTTGTGGTCTGGCCAGTGTGTTTTCTGACATGCCCTGTAACACAAACAGCCCCTACTGAACCCAGCATCCACGACCACCCTGGACACGAGCATGGCAGGGCCAGAGGGGTGCGCTGGGGACAAGGGGAGTGCAGCAAGCCAGACTGGCTCCCTCCCAAAGGCCAGGCCCATCCCACCTCCTCCCAGTGGACTGAGCTCTCCCACCAGCCCTTCAAGGTAGGAGACCCTCGCTCCCTGCCAGGCACACCAATCCAACTCACACGTTGCAGTAACCGACTCGATAGCACCTCGTGCAGCGCCTGAGCTTCTCATCCTCTGGCAGCTGCTTCTTCTGGCAGGCTGCGCACTTGGCGACAGGGCCACTGGGCACCTGCGGACGCTGCGGGAGAAAGGACCCGTTGGGCAGGGAAGGGCACGCGGGCAGGATAAGGCAGCCTCGGTGGGCACCCGTGCTCACTGCAGCTGGTCACCCTCACGTGCAGCTCTCCCTCTCCTGCTCAGCCCCACTTTCAGTCTCAGCCTCCCTGCGTGCCTCCCAGTAATCCCAATATCCCTTCTTACCTGCTGGACCTGCAGCTCCACCACCCGCTCCTTGGCCAGCTCTGGGGACAGCACCTCGAAGCAGAGCAGCAGGTCTGTAGGGGAGACCGTGTCCAGCGAGTTGGATGGCAGGAACATGCGGTGGAACCGATTCTTGATCACCTGCCAGGAAAGCAGCAGAGTGGGGCTGTGTGATGGCTGCCCCACGCTTCCTCTCCTGAGAGCCACAGACCCCAGCCCCACAGTGAGCTGCAGGCACAGATGCAGCACCACAGGGATGCTGTACGCAGCTCACCACCCTCCCAGGAGGATGGACATCCCTTGCCCCACTGCAGTGGCCCAGCCCTCCTGAGCAGTGTTCTGCCCGGCAGCACGCTGTGCAGGTCACTGCCACTCACGGACAAAATCCACCCCATGGACGCGTTGGATATGGGCAATTGCCAGTGGCCCCATTCCCTGCGGAGCTGTGGGAGCCGGGGAACCTACAGGAGCATCCTGTGGCTCACTCCCCAGCCTGAGCGCTCTCACCTCTGCCAGGCGCAGGTTCTCCGGTTTCACACGCATGCTATGGGCCACTGAGTCAAGCACCTCCATGGCACTGGAGTTCTCCTTGCTGATACTCACAAGAAACTGCCATGAAGAAAGTGTCACATCAGTCACACCGTACCAACGCACACAGGCCCTTGCTTAACACAATGCCTAGCCCGTTAGCACACGACCAGCTGCCTGGGGGACACGTCTGGGAGCCCTCTCAGGCCACCTCCCCAGAGCAGATGGTGTCCTTTACCTTGATGGGTTTCTGGTGCGGCTCCTTTGCAAAGTAGTAGACAGTCAGCACCTTCTGCTTCTGCGGGAGGGGTACAGGGAGGTACAGGAAGGGGTCGAACGTGATGGACACCTGCAGACACCAGAGCACACTCAGTTGTGGGAAGTGCTTGTGACCGAGGTCAGCAGGGCAGCAGCCCCAGCAGAGCTGAGATCCAGCCCTGCCCTGTGCCCTCTGAGGGTCTGGAGCCTGCTGCACAGCCAGGACAGGGACAGAGCCTCTAGGGCTGCCCTACCTTGGAACACACTGGGCACACCAGCTTGGATTTATACTGGCCCTGGAAGAGGTCCACGATGAAAGAGTCGTTCCTCATCTTGTGTCGCTGCCAGGCCTCCTCAGCTACCACCTGTGGGGAGACAGGGCTCAGTGTTACGCTAAACCACCCAGGCCAGGGCTGCTCTCCCAGGGGCTTTGCGGAGGGATATCCTCACCTCATCAGGCCTCCCATCTGAGTCAACAGTTTCTGTGTAGGGCTTGTTCTGGATCCGGTTGAGGTCCTCGTGCAGGCCATCGAGCAGGAAGGCCATGAACTCCTGAGCATCGTGCTGGGCGTAGCCAGTGAACTGGCTGGCCTTGCTGGCCACGATTGCCTGGGGACAGCACAGCCATCAGGGCTGGCCAGGAGCCCGCCGGCAGCACCGCCTGCCCCAGGCACAAAACCTGGCTGGACCCACCCCGACCCACCGAGCTCCCAGCAGCACCAGCAGGGCAGCCAGGTCCCCACAGAGAGCTGCTGGGGACCCATGGCAGCTCCTGTGCAGCACTGGTGCCTGCGGCCCTACCTTCAGTTTAGAGGGCTGGAAGGCATGGTGCGTGCCCTTCCACAGCGCTCGCAGCAGCATGGCAAAGCCGATGGCCAGGCGGCCCCCTGTCCCCAACGGGTTGTTGTAGTTGATTTCCGACTCAAAGGACCGATCTGTAAGAGAAGCAGGAGAGCGAGGGTGGCTTCTGGCTGCACCGTCCGAGCGGCAGGACTCTGCTGGGGTCCCGGTGTGTGCTTACCATGGAAGTAGTCACGCAGCTCACGGGTGTTGGACAGGGACTGGATGACGCTGTTCATGAAGCAGGTGTTGCCCAGGTTCACCAGCCCCGTGAAGCCAGGCAGGCACACCTTCTTCTTCTCGTCCTCATCCTCATCATCCTCCACACTCTCGGTGCTCACTGGGCTGTGCGTCATTGGTGGCACCATGCACGTCGGTTTGGGCTGCCAAAGCAGAGGCCGGTGTGAGGATGCTGCACTTGGAGGGTCTCTCTGGAATCACTGGGGAACCCGACTGCCCAAGGCACCCTTCAGGCACGGCTGGGCTGCAGCCACCGCACCATTTCCCACCAGGACTGGGACAGACAGGCCAACTGCTGCCTCTAATCCTGCCAGCCATGGCTGAGGAGCGCTGCCTCCTCCTCCTCCAGGAACAGTTTGCCAGTCCCCAAAGCAACACTGAGGAGGTTGGGTCTCATGAGAGGGACAAGTGGGCCCCCCCTTTTCCCCCATCCAGGTCAAACCCGGCATAGCCCCACTCACTGAGGGGACGTGCGGCTCTTGCTTCACTGCCACATGCTCTGGGGCTGTACGGGCTGCCACACCATCCAGACCCCCATCTTCCACGCGCGGCTTCTCTTTGTCGCTGGCTCGGGCCTCTTCCTTGCTGGACAGGGGGTGCTGGTTACTGCCAGGGGGGTTCTTGTCCAGAGGGGTAGGGCCTGTAGGCATGGCAACCTTTGCACCACCCACTGCACCTTAAAAAGGGGGAAGGGCAGGCCTGTGGTTAGCAGCACCACGTGCTGCCCGCGGAGGGGCTGAGCCGCTCGCTCCATGCTCAACCACAGGCTCTCTCCCACCCCTGTTCCCCGTGAGCAAGGGGAACAGCAGTGCCCTTCCCCTAGCGCTTGGCTCGCCCTGCCCCACACCCCTCCTGCCTGCAC